GGGGATGCGGAGCTCAGAGCCCCGAGGGGAGCCACCCACAGCCCAACTCCCTCCTCCGGGCTCGCAGCCAGCCCCACTCCTGCGGTCCCAGCGAACAAAAGACTACCCCGCTCCAGGAGCTCTGGACCCGAAAACTCCGAAATAAAGCCAGGAGACAATTGAGGGAGTCTCCTGAACTTGAACATCTCCAAGGAAGGCCTCCCTCGAAGATGGGAGGTTTCCTACTGCTAGCAGCTCTTGAGAGAATTTCCCAGTATTGTCTCCTAAACGGAGCCTCTGTTAATCCCGGTCTTTCCCAACATCTGCCCCGGACCCTTCGCCCCCATCTGAGATGGATTGGTCTGGGATCCTACAGGGGGTTAGATGGGGGGAGCGTGTAAGGGCCTATTGCTGGATAAGGAAGAAGGTGATGTGGCTCACCAAACTAGTTGATCTTTTCCGCGAGAGAGGTGCCCTCCGCCCTAGATGTCACCCTAGTTTCTATCTAGCTTTAGAAGGCAGCCTGTCAAAACCAGCTTTCTTGATGATCTCAACGAAGATCATCAAACCTTGGCAAACCCAAACCCAAGAATATTTTCTTTCAATTATAGCAGTCTAAAAGCCCTGGTTGGAAGACAAGCCTTCAAAGCGGGAATCCCAAGTGATTGCTCTACCTACCATAGTAGAATAAATCTCCTTTGCAGACATTGGGGTCACTGGTACTTTTTCTAGCACTACCACCACCCCGGGGTCACTTGCCCTACTCTGCAAAAAAAAAAAAAAAATTATCTTTTTAACACTGGTTAAAACGGTGAGTATAAGAACGAAGAAACTATTCTAAAATTGATTGTGGTGATGATTGTACAACTCAATATTATTGAACTATTGGATTGTGCAATTTATGACTTATATACCAATAAAACGGGTTTTAAAATCATAACATTACGTAAACTTTTTTAGAAGTTCGAGTAGAAGTAAAAAACAAAAGTTTATTAGACTTTCAGAGGGTTGCACACGAGGCGCCCTGGTCGCACAGTGGTTACGCACTTGACAGCACTTGCGCTGGGGCTTTTCCTCCCAGAAAGAGTGCCACAAAAAAACACACACTGCCATCGGGTCACTCCAGCTCACAGTGAGCCTGTGGGGGCAGGGGTTGGAGTTCCCCTGTGGGTTCCCTTTGCATAGCAGAAAGGCCCAGAAATAGTTCCAGCCTCAGAAAGTCACAGGGGCAGCTCTACCCTACCTTATAGGGCCGCTCACTCTGTGGCAGTTAGAGCAGCGACAGAACCGAAGTACCTCTTGACTTCCCCTGGCAATATTTGCCATCAGTAAATTCTGGCTTGATGAGTATCGGACAGAGTAAAACTGACCCATGTGGTTTTCCGAGACTGTAAATCTTTTTATTTCCTTTTTTTTTTTAAGGCTGTAAATATTTATAGATGTAGAAAGCCCGGGGAAATCACTTGTTGGTCTTGGTTTTCTCATCTGGAAAATGGGGTAATGGGTCAGGTCTTAGGTCCATGGACAAGCTCAGAGGTGCGCCCAGCTTTTGTTTTTCCTGAAATGTTTGTGGACATTGATGTATTTGAGGGTCAAAGGCTCCATTTTTAAAGTTACTGTGGACCGGATGCCATCTCATAATGACCTCCTGATGCCAGAGTGGAACTGTGCTCCACAGTGGTTTCTTTTCTTTTTTCTACTCTTAAATTTTATCTTAAATACTCATAAGTTACTTTTTTTCATTGAATAAATATGTGCTGTTTAAAAATGAGAAATATATGTACTGCATCTTTAAGTAATACATTTATGCTCTCTGGGTTTCATTCCAACCCACCTTATGTCATAAAGTGCATTTAGATATTGAATAAGGAAGACTAGAAGAATAGATGCATTTGAGTTGTGGTGCTGGAGAAGAATATTGAAAGTACCATGGACTGCTAAAAGGACAAACCAGTCTGTATTGCAGTGGTTCTCAACCTCCCTAATGTCGCGACCCTTTAATACAGTTCCTCATGTTGTGGTGACCCCCCAACCATAAAATTATTTTCATTGCTACTTCACTGTAATTTTGTTACTCTGAAGAATCGGGCAGCCCCTGTGAAAGGGTCGTTTGACCCCCAGGTTGAAAACCGCTGCTGTTAGAAGAAGTAAGGCCAGAGTGCACCTTAGAGGTAAGGATGGCAAGACTTAATCTTACATGCTTTGGACGTGTTGGCAGGAGAGGCCAGTCCCTGGAAACATCGTGTTGGTAGAGTGGAGGGTAGTGAAGAGAAGGAAGGTCCTCGACGGGATGGATCAGCACGTGGCTGCGTCAAGGGCTCAGGCGTCAGAGCAATGGTGAGGATGGCACAGGCCCGTGCGGTCCATGGGGTCTGTTGTTTTACTGTGCTGTGCACAGAGTCACTATGGGTTGAAGCCAAGTCATAACAACAGTTAAGGAGTAATGAACCACTACTTTATCATTATTGTTCAAATAATAAGTTAAATGAATATGACTATGAAGACACTACCCTGCAATCTAGCAGGTTAACTTAGGATCCAGCAGCAGAAAAAAATTTGATTTCAATTTTTACACTCAAACCAAACCATCTTACCATGACTCCTGGAGTCGTCTCTTAGAGCTGTTCGGGGCACCTGTATATCGTGAGGGGAAAGGGGTATGGGAGGGAGATCACAGGCAAAGCTAGGGTCTAGAGAAGGACTAGTGGGATCTACGAAGGAAAATGCAGAGATGGTGAGTCCTTTGGCCCAAGGAGCAGGGATGGAGGGAGGAACCTTTCCTTTGGTATGGAAAACATCAACCTCCTTAGGGTTTTCAATGAATGCATTTTCAGTTACCAGGCAGACCTTTCTTTTAATGTACCTCTGGGTAAATTCCAACGTCCAACCTTGAAGCCAAGCCCATTTGTTTGTCCTGTCTAGGACCTACATAACACTCATCAAATTCGATAAGGCTTCCATAATCCAACATGAACTCCAAAATGTCTTGGTTTCACTTTATTTTGCTTTTGTTTTGTTTCTGTTGGGTTTCCCAGTTTGTGGACCACAGAAAGAGTGGATGCATAGTGGCAATAACTGGTGCAATGGTTTGTAGGGGATGTAGGGATTGGAGGTGGATTATAGGGAGGGTAAGGGGATTTGGGGAGTAAGCAAGGAAGGTGGGAGGGGTGAAGGAGCACATTAGAACTGTATGTGATTGTACAACTCATTTTAAAGTCATTTAACCATGGGAGTGGGAGTGTTCTAAAATTGATTATGGTAATGATTGTAAAATTCTTCTCCATATGATTGAATGATTAAACTATTGAATTGTATATGTGGATTAGGTGCCAATAAAACTTAAAAAAAGAAATGACTTGGTTTCTATTCCTGAGCAAAGTTTTAGGTTAATGAAAGCACATTGTCTGCACTTCTCCTACGCCACCTGAAACATGCTTCCCCATGCTGACCACAGACTGCTCTTGTAACAACTATACCTCCCCAAACATGTCTGCCCTTCGGGGCACGAGTGAAGGACACACCTCTCGATTAACTGGGTTAGCTAAGGGTTAGCTAAGCATCTAAGGAGTGGGAGAAAGGTAGAAATGGAAGGAAAAAAAGTATTGGAGACAGATTTGGTTGGTGATTAGAACTGAGCACAATTAGGTGTTCTGCAATTCCCATTCTTCGCAAGGTTCTCCATAGTTTGTTATGATCCACATAGTCAAATGCCTTGGCATAGTAAGCAATACGCAAATAAGCATCTTTCTGGAATTCTCTTCTTTCTGCCAAAGTCTATCTGACATCAGCAATTATATTCTATGTTCTCTTCTAAATCCAGCCTGAACCTCTGGCAGCTACCTGTCAATGTATTGCTACAACCATGATTGAATGATCTTCAGCAAAATTTTACTTGCATGTGATATTGTGTTAGTCCAGGTAGACTAGAGAAACAAATCCATAGAAACTCATAACCTTCTCCCTGTGGGACGGACAATAGAAAAGTGGGTGAAGAGAGACATCAGACAGTATAAGATATGACAAAATAATAATAATTTAGAAATTATCAAGGGTTTATAAGGGGATGGGAGGGAGGGGGAATAAATGAGGAGCTGATACCAGGAGGTCACGTAGAAA